AAAAAAAGAATGTTTACCGGCAGAATATAGTTTGGGAAGACAATAACAGTGGCTCTCGAGAAGAGTTTTCTCCAGATGTTGACCGGCTCACTTTGACCACTCGAAACATATTGTCTCAATCGAGCGGCAAGTGACTGTTCGTGGATAGTCCATACAAGAGGGACATTTCTAAAAGGTTCCTGCATGAGACTGTAAAAAGTAAAACCTTTTACTTTTTTAGCAAAACGATCTGTCCAATCCAGAACAGGTAAACCTTCATAAAGACTAAAATCATCCAGTTCACGCAAGCATGACATGATTATAAAGACAAATGACACGATTGGCAAAACATGACCCGAAACACAACATGAAAAACACGAAATAAAAAAGTAAGTCAAATTTAGATATACTATCATATTTATAATAAAATAAAATAAACCCCTTACTAGAGGGAACAAATTATTAAGTCCATCTAATCTAATATATAATGGAATGCAGAACGAAATGACATTGCTTACCAAGACAAGAAACCTGCAGAATTAAGAGAATTCACAAGTACGCCATCATAGCTGCAAAGAAGAAGCATAAAATTAGAACATATAAACCCAATTTTAACTATCTTCCCCAATCTGCCTAATTTTTTCTACTATTGAGTACCTATGGTAGTTCATTATAACAAATTAACATGCAGCTATACCAAATATGCAGTAACAGACACTAAATTACAGAAAAACAAGCGTGTAAAAACTAAAAACAATTCATTTCCTAAGGGAAAAAAAAAAAGTAAGTACTCATGATATTTAAAATGGAATTACTTATGACAAACATAATTACATATACAGCTAAATTGACTAGACCATAAAAGTAAATTGCTAGCATTTTATAATGATTAGTGAAAAACTAGAAACCATAAAAATAAATTGCTAGCATTTTATAATGATTAGTGAAAAACTAGAATAATCTAACAAGAAAAAAGTATTAAAAATACGTAACTCAAACGCTACTATGAGAGGATGTTTCTTATCAATAACATTAAAGGAGTGACCAAAGAAAGTGACTGGAAGGGTTTAGCAAAAGAAACTAGATTTGGTGTGTGCAGATGTCAAATTAACCTTAAATTAGCATTATTCAACTTCTCCATCAGATGTTCTCTCCTAATTACATCAACTTTCAGATTGTTTTCTAAAAATGCCACCAGCTTTTGATTCTCCTAAATTGCAGATATTTTTGCAAGAATTCCAAAAAAATGGGAGACCATAACAAAGATCAAAGATCATGCAATAGCTAAGACAATCATGAACATTCAGAAAACATAACAAATGGAAACGCAAACAAGAGATAATAATTTCATATGTAAGAACACATATGACAGCATATTCATACTTTAGCCAATCTACACTGCACTTAGTGATCTCATCACCCACATTGACAGTCAGAGGAATTCCCATCTCTCTCCAGATAGACTGTGCTGGACCTTTTTCCCATGAAATAACCTGTAAACACCAACATCAATTATAAACTGTAAACACACATTTGACTACTAAACTCTATAACATTTTGTTAGAACCATCATCTGTTTGATATCTCCTACACCAATTTCGCAAGAGAGCCTCACTAAGACAAAGTAATCGAACATCACAGAGTTTCATTATGCATTTCACTCTGCTCTTATATAAGAAGCCACACAAAAGCTAGGCTATCTAAATAAAGTACCAGAATGAAAGATATGAGCAAAGGGGAACGGTCACATTGATTATAAAAACTTGTCGACTACTATCTAAAACTCCATCAAAACTACCCAGCTATGCAATAAAACCGATAAAGATGAGTGCAGATATTAGGAATGCAAATAGCAGATTAGTTAAGAACCTCAATTTCATATCCGATTTCCAGCAATGCTCTAGCAACTGTCGCCATTAGTATCTGATGTTGATCGATCCACAGATCCGAGAATACCTACAGATAAATGTCGAGAGATGCCATCTTTTAACAATACTTTTCTAGCTTCTAAGCTACTAGCTAAATTGCTTAATAGTTAATAGTAACATAAATAACAGATAATTTTNGAAAAAAAAAAAAAAAATGCTACAGCCCAAAAGAAAATGGTATAAACCCACGAGCAGATTTTTATTGTTTCCCCTTCTAATGAATTAACAAACTCAATGGACTAATGCAAAACCAGATGCACTAAAAGAATAAATCAATAGGATTAAATTAATTCAAAGTGCTTACCAGGGCAAGCTTTGGTTTTCTGTACCCAAATCTCAAAACATTCTCAGAACCGACACTTTTCCGCGCTACATCAACACCCTTCCGAAATTTCTCCATGATTTTCAAAGGCTCGAACTTCAAATCCTCACCAAAATCCAACTCATTCAAGAATGTCAGATTCTCCTCAACATCCCTCCATAAAAAATCATGGGTTCTTTTGAATTCACCAGATTTAACTCCATCCTCCGTGATGGAGCCAGGCAAGTAGAAAATCTGGAAGAGGAAAACAAATAAGAAAAAGACGGCCACCCCACAAATCAGCTGCAGATAGTCAATCTTCTTGCAAAGCACAAATCTGGAAAATCTTGATCTGCTCCTACTGCTCTTACTATTACTGTTCCTAATGGATGAAGAATAAAGCGGCAAACGGTTATCCCTTTTCAGTGGCGGCCCGCTTTCAAGTGAACCCATTTACATGCTATAAAAGAGGGGAGCCCAAAATTGAATCTTTATAGCTTATATACGTATGTGTATGTGTGTTTTCAGCGACTGGTAGCTGTACGCATAATTTTTCCTTACAAAATGGGGAAGAAGATCAAGAATTAAAAAAGACTGCTCTTTAAGGAGGATTAGATTAGATGATGGGCTTTGGATATTTTCTTGGTTTGGACCAAGAAAGAAAAATATACGACTAAATCGGAGTTTTATATGAACTACAAATTGCTAATCTTTCGGCCCTTTAATCTTTTTCCTTCTCTGTATTATTAAAGAAGTCAAGTAGAGCTGTGAGTATGTGTGTGAGAGAGAAACAGAGTGAGGAATAGAGAGAAGACGACGAACATGAATGGATTATTGAGATCCGATGATCTCTGCCAAAGATTTATACACACAATTGCGTATTCGGTGCTGAAGATGTGTGTGTAAAGGATGAGAGATAAAATACTCGTCTTTCTCATTTCCTTACAATTGGTAGAGAGAGAAATAAAAAACTGTTTACTGAAAGGTTTGTCTGTAAAGTGTAGGTTAATTAACTAATTAAGTTTAGTTAATTACTAATTAGTCCAATGTGGTCATATTTTTCACCAAGACAAATGGAGTCTTCTATTTTTATCTTTTCTTGTTTACTATTAGTAGGTATTAAATTATTAGAAAATACTACAATGACGGAATGGTTCCGTCAGTAGTTTCTACCGTAGATGTACATGTAGATCACTTTTGTGTAGATAATCTACCGTAGAAACTACTAACGGAATCATCCCGTCAACGAGACTTTAGTCATCCCCTTAATTATTAATACCACTATTCTAAAGTGCCCTCTTGGTTTACTTAATAAAATAAATTATTTTGAATAAAGTTGATTGAGTGATGAATTAAGTGAGATTTTGATTTTGTATTTAAACAATATTTAAAATATAATGATTAAATTCGATGAGAGGTAAAAGTATGAGAGAAGTGATTAAAAAGTGATGGATAGTTAAAAAATATGTGAGTGAATTAAAGTTGATTTGATAAGAGACACATTACTTTTCAACATGGACCGACCCGACGAGTCGACCCAGGACCTGATCGACCCGGAGCCGAAACTGATTCGGGTGGGTGATTTGGATTTTGGACCGGGTGACAACAGATCTAGTCAAAACCCCGTCAACCCAGCATTGATCCGGGCATGTACCCACTAGGTCCACCCGATTTGACTAGGTCAATATAATATTTTAAAAAATATATATTTTTATTATTTTAAAAATAAAACTATGGTAAATATTTATTATGAGATACAATGTTATAAGCATTTGATGTACAAAATTTATATACAAAATATTTATTTTTTTGTTAGTTTTATGTATATTTATATAATAAAAATACTATATATATAATTTTAAATTAATTATTCGATTCAACAATTGACTCAGTGACCCAACGGTTAAATTGGTGACCCGGTGACCTCGACCTGTTCGGGTCAATTCCCGTCCGGTTTAAAAACTATGGTGTGAGAATAATTGATTAGTATTAACGTATTTGATAATATTGAGAAGAGTTAAGTTCGATAAAGTTTATTTGGACTTTGAGTTAAAAAAAATAAAAAAATAAAATAATAATAATAATAATAATAAGAATAATAATAATAATAATAATAATATTTCATTCATTCAAAACCATATAATTTCTATATCCAATTGCCCTGTAAGGATCAATATATATTCAACTAGACAGCCTCTTTAGATGCTAAACTAATTAGTAATTAGAGCATCCCTTTATATTGCTTCATTTTGTTACCACATGGCAGAAATTTTTTTATGTAGCATGGAAAATGTCTAAAAGACTTTTAGACTTTCTAGATGTAAAAGTCTTTCTAAACAACTTCTATTATATATTATATTGTTTATCCAATTTATCTCGCTTCTTCAACCAATTACAATTTTACACATTGCAAATGATACCACACTTAACACTAAATATTGGAGACACAATTTCTTAATTTCCTTTCTTCATTTCATGCAACACAATTTCCATTGGAGATGCTTTTAGACGGCGGTTAGACGGATTAGACAATGTAGGTGAATGTGAAATTATCATACTTACTTGGTTAAGTGAAAACCTAATGGTTAGACACAATATTTTAATATTTTTAATTATTTTTCAAATATTTGAATTTATACATGAGATATACAATAATTCTAAAATTGAAAGTATATATATATATATATGTATATATATAAACATGTTAGAACTAATATAACTATTATGTATATAATATTTTGAAAAACATTTATATTTAATTGTATTAATAGTATTTATTATATAATGTATATTGTGAGCTATATATAACCGTAAATATAATAATTTCATTAATGTTATACGCCCTATACAATTCGCGCCTGGACACTTAGACGCTATACTTCAGGTTTCTGTTTTCCATCCGAGAAGGTCTCTAACATCTTTTAGAACATCCACAATGTTTTGTTCATTAAAAAAAAAAAAATATACATATCACATAGGAAATATACCTAGGCTAAAAAATATATTCTCTAAGAGCATCTACAATGCTTTGGATTCAATTCCAAAAAATTACATGCCACATAAGAAATAGACCCAGTCCAAAAAAATATATTCTCCAATGCAAATAAAAGTAGACTGAGTCCTGCTGATGTGGCAGCCAGAAAAAGAGACCCGGTCTCCCCTTAAGTCCATTTTAGACCCAAGTAGAGACCTAGTCTCTTTGCATTGGAGTGAATTTTATTTATTTTACATAATTTTATCCACGTCATCTAAGAATTGGGTTTATTTACTTGCCACATAGGCAAGACTAGACTCAATGCATTGAAAATGCTCTAATGAAAATGCGAGTGGACTGGGTTATTGCTGATGTGTCAACAAGAAAAAAAAAGAGACACCGATCTACTTTTCAGTCTATTTTAGACTCAAGTAGAATATCGGTCATTATTTAAAATCATATAGCATTAAATGTTACCTTAAATTTTGGGCTTTAGTTTATGTCATTATTTAAAAAATAAAGCTAATATTTATTAAGTGCGTATGTTTTTATTTTTATTTTTTTCTTAGAAACAATGAGCAACATTAAAATCTCGGTCTCTATATTTATAAAATCTCAATTCAAAATATAACAAAAGTTTTAGAATATCGGTCTTTATATTTGTGCCTTTAAAAAAATATTGAACACTAAAAAATATTTTTTAAATTGCATAATCAATCAATTAATTTTAATTTTTTTAAAATTACTATGTTTATTATTTACTAATATGCATAAAGTAAAAATAATTAATTCATCTTTAGAAATATAATTTATAATCTTAATATACTATCATTTGGTGTAAACATTTATTATATGAATCATAAAATATTTTTATTTCATAAAATCAAATATATTTACAGAAAATAAGAAAATTTCTTCGGATCAATCGAGTGATTGAATTCGGATACTGCCCAGGTTGATTGTATTACTTTTAGGTGATATTTAAAATAGTTAAAAAATTTGACACAACGTGGTTGGTCCCAAGTGACTAAGTTATGTATCAGTTCGACCACACCAAATCGATTATTGAACCTAAATATAAATTTTATATTGAAAATATTTTATTACGTGAATGTGATGTAGTCAAACTTCAAATAATCGACTGGTGTTGACGGATTCGAGAGCAAATAGTTTAATAAAGCGAACTAGACTGGTTATAAACCAGTACTTGATCCATCCGGTCGGACTGTGTCCAACCCGGTATTCAAAAACAATGAATAAATCATGATTAATGTTATATATATATATATATATATATATATTTAATTTATAATACAATCATAATATTGTTTTTCCGTGCATTCCACGGGCCACGCACTAATAGATTCTCAAGGTCATGACTTTTTTATTACCAAAGTGGTTTTGGTAGGGGGAAAAAATCTTTTCTATTCAATAATATTTTGAAATTATTACTCAAATAAAGGAGTATCACCATCTAAACGGTGTTACGAAAAACGTCATCCTATTTTGTGGCATAATCATTATCTATATATATATAATAAGAATTAACATTTACCAAAAATAGTAACAAAAAAATAGGTCAGAATTTAATGCAGCCTATAAATAGTAAGTTTTATTATTTTTCTTATTTTTTCCTTAAAAATCATACAACATTAAATGTTACCTTAAATTTCGGGCTATAGTTCATTTTATTATTTAAAAAATCCGGCTAAAATTTATTAAGTGTGTATGTTTTTATTTTTATTTTTATTTTTTTCTTAGAAACAACGAACAAAATTAAAATCTCGGTATCTATATTTATAAAATCTCAATTCAAAATATAACAAAAATTTTAGAATCTCGGTCTTTATATTTGTGTCTTTAAAAAAATTGAACGCTAAAAATATTCTTTAAATTGCATAATCAATTAATTAATCTTAATTTTTTGAAAATTACTATGTTTATTTTTTATTAATATGCATAAAGTAAAAATGATTTCATCTTAAGATATATAATTTATAATCTTAATATACTATCATTTGGTGTAAACATTTATTATATGAATCATAAAATAGTTTTATTTCATAAAATTAAATATATTTAAAGAAAATAAGAAAATTTCTTCGGATCAATCAGGTGATTGAATTAGGGTACTGTCCAGGTTGATTGAATTATTTTTAGGTGATATTTAAAATAGTCAAAAAACTTGACACAACTTGGTTGGTCCCAGGTGATTAAGTTATGAATCAGTTCGATCACACCAAATCAATTATTGAACCTAAATATAAATTTTATATTAAAAATATTTTCTTACGTGAATGTGATGTAGTCCAAATTTCAAATAATCGTATTAACAATACTCTTATGACAACATGTTTAATGATTTATGAATATTTATATATCATTTTATTAATATTTATGTGAATTAAATAATATTTTATTATAATATTTATTAATGTACATTAAATATAAGGTTCTCAGAACTGGACTGTCATCGAAACGATCAAGCTATTTTATTAAATCATTTGTGGTTTGTTCAGATTTTAATTTATAAACATTTTAATATATATATATATATAATGCTTATATATATAATACTTTTTGTAATAAATTTAAATAAAATGTGTTACTTATATATTTAAAAAATTTATAAATTCAAATGTTTAAACTAATTGATAAATAATTTATAAATCTCTACTTTATTTAAATGTGCAATTTTATTTAAAATAATTTTAAATATAACAAAATTTATTTAAAAAATCGTATCGATCCTACAAATCCAACCGACTGGTGTTGACGGATTCAAGAGCAAATATCTTATTCAAGCGAACTAGACTGGTTATAAATTGATTCTCCGTTCATCCGGTCGAACTGTGTCCAACCTGGTTTAATGTAAAAACAATACATAAATCATGATTAATGTTATTTATATATTTAATTTATAATACGGTCGTAATATTGTTTCCCGTGCATTGCACGGGCCACGCACTAGTTTTTCTAGAATCAGATTTGAATTTACGTATGGTTTGACAGAAAAATCATTTAATGAAAACAAGCTTATTGCAATTATTTAAGAAGAAAAATACTCACTGCCGTTTTGTTAAACTTCAAAATCGGAAAAGGTTTCAGTTGAAATAGTGAATGTTAGGATTTGGTTGAAATCTGATGAAGTAATTCGGGTGGGTACATGTTGACCTATTGTCTCTAATATTAGATTTCATATTACTTTTGCACGCTGCGATTTAGTAGGATTGAAGCATTTTCAACATAATAGTTCACATTAACTAGACTAATAATGGCTGATTAGGTCAATCCATCATGTTTGTAATTATAATTTATATTCATACCATCAGATAATATACTTTTAAACAGTTGCATATATTAATTTAGTTGTATGTATGACATACTTTTTTTTTTCATTAGACATCCAAATTCAAGAATTCTAAAAAAAAACGTGTTAAGAAATCTTTTAATATTTAATTTGGATTATAAAACTTTATCATTATGCATAACTTAATTTTCAATACTATGACCAAAATAAATGAATCCAGTCAAGTCAGATCACACGGAAATATATTTTTAAAGTATGAACAAATATCTTATATTTAGTTGTGAGTAATAGTTAAGTCATTTCAGTATTAAAAGTTGTCAAAGACCTAAAAGTGTTCAGACATTACCTCAATTGTTGAGGTGGTTGTCAAAAAGGTTCTTGACTTCTTGTAAATTTCATTAATAATGACTAAATGATTTTAATTAAAACAATTAGCAACAAACAATGCATGACCCCTATTTGCCCAATGTTCCGTTCGCAGGATTTTTATTTTTATTTTTTAAATGTGTGCATTATAATATTTCACGTTTTCTTTTTTTTTTTTTGTTGCGAGACAGCATATCACTACATCCATCCGGTTGTATATTTTTAAAAAGCATATTTATACTGTAAGATCAGGCTAAAATGTGTTTTTCTTATGGTATGATATTTTATTGTAAAAGAAATTAATTTATTGAAAAAATATATCCACTTTAATAGTTAAGTTTGACTAAAAATAGCTCATAGCATTTTTGCATATACATTTGATTTACTGAAGTGCACAATAGCTGTTTAGAAAATAATTATTGGCAGCTATCCAATGTAAATGTAATTTTACTAGAAAGTATGCGGTTGTATTAAACACAGCTGACCCATAAATTACATTTCATATGTGTTAATATTAGTCTAAATTCACTGTATAAAAGTCTTATAATCTATGACTAACATAGACATTAAACAAATCCAACAAACGATCATGTACATAACATTAAGGCTGAAGTGTAAAGCCCAACAAAAAGAATGACTTTGAAGCACAACTATCCAAGCTCATAATATCCACGTGCTCCACATCTCAACAAGTTCTATTTTTGATGCAGTACATAACAGTTTCACCACCATCCTGATTAGAGTCAGAGTTGTGGTTTGGTTGTAAGTTTATTGTGTACCATAAAGTGATTGATCCGATTTTTTATTAAACATAATCATACACTGAAAAGTTAAACAACTATGATTGAGATACTTTTATTAGATATTTCAATGAAAGTTTGGAATGACAATGAGTCTGATTTTGGTTATACTTCTGTGGTTTTTCCAATTACATTGCATTTATCCATCTTCATATCCATTCCTAATTATTTTTGTTCATGTGATTGTTTAGCTGTTGCTACTCTGTTTTGGTGTGGTATGAGTATTGATATAGCCATATAAGGATATTCCGGTCCAAAGGCTCCCTACTCGACCAAGGGAATTGCTCAAACCACTCGCATGACGACATGAACCCGTTGACATGCTCAAGTCGACTTCCTCAAAGTCGACTTTTCACAAGATGGATAACGAGAAGTGGCAGATATCATACAAGTCGACTCGCAGAAGTCGACTTGGTGTAGTCGACATCTACTTGAGAAGACCAACAAAGGCGTAGCCTCCGAATAACCGGAAGATCCTGGGTCGACTCGTCCATGCTCAATGTCGACTCCTCCTACCTCAAGACGTGAGGTACATTGACGACTTAATACACTTATAACACACTCGAGACTCTGCATTCTCCAATAGATAAGAAGGAATCTTGTGATGACTTAGCAGTAAGGGGAGACGAACCGACCGGGGCATTTTGGGTACTTCAAGTAAGTGTTTCCTCCTATATAAAGGAGGTGAGGTAACCCTAAACCCTAACTCTCATTCATTCTCCACTCTCCCTCATAGCTGCTGCGCAGCCTCTCTTCATCTCTCTCAGATACTGACTTGAGCGTCGGAGGCTCTACGCCGGAAACACCTCCGGCGTTGAGTTTTTTCAGATGTTCTCGCGGTCTAGCAACGGTTCGAAGGCGATTCAAACAGATCTGAGCTCCTTACCACCGGTTCACTCCAGATCTGAGAGTAGAGCCATCAAGTACCTTGGAGAATCTCTTGTGTTTTAGTGCTAGAACGTAAGATGCTTGTGTAAAAGAATTTGAGATCAAACTATATAATTGGTGACTTTATTTTGTGATAATAATGCTTATGAAAGCACTAATTTTATGCTACCTTTCATGAACATTTATATCCTTTTAGTATTTTTTGTGATATGTAAGGTATATATTATTCATAGATGATTACCACTATGCATTGCAGATTTTTAGGATAATACCTTAAGTTGAGTGTGTTAAAGAATTAGAAATCAAATTATAATTTGTGACTTGAGTGTGTTAAAGAATAAGAAATCAAATTATAATTTGTGACTTGATTTTGTGGCAATCGGTTATGAAAGTTTAAGTTTTTATGTTGCTCTTCATGAATCTTATATCCTTTTTGTAGTTATTTGTGATGTATGTTTGCATTATGTATTGGGATATAAAGGTTATGGGGTGGAATAAGTCTGATATGTATGTTGTTTTGAATCAATGCGTGCTTTGTGAATTGTGATTCTTTCTCTTCTCATTAAGTATGATCATGATATTATAAATAAGATCAGAAATCAGAAAATTGAGATATGTTATTTGATTAGATAGCTGCACATTTGAACACTTAGACTGAATCTATATCTATACATCTCGCATAATCCTTGAATGTTGATTGTGTTTTGATGTGTGTGGTTGTGTGTGCTTTTTTAAGTATAATTTGTTTTTACATATAAAATCTATTATGTGCATGTATTTTGTTCCCAAAACTAAACTCTAAGATTTATTTAGTTATTCTTTATGAAATTAGATACGGAATGCCAGTGCCAAGTCTATAGTATGGCTTCTTATATGGAGTTCTATATCATTCTTTCAATGTTACAACAAAACCGAATACACTTCAATTTTTTTCCCTAATTACCACGAAGGACAAGCAAAAGAGAAATATTGTCATTCGTAAAGTTTTCATTCTCGTCGGATGAAAAAACTAACAAGAGACTGAACAAACATTCTCAAATACTAAAGTTCAAAGTATACATTGTAGATCAAATGATTCCTTTTAAAAACATACTAAAGCCAAATTAATGAGACAAGTTGTACCAAAATCTCACATTTGCTTCTGCTCACTGTCCAGATATGATTTCTCACAATCCTCTGCAGATGAATGCAGTTGAGGTTTGAGATTCTTCAGTTCCTGTAAAAAACATAAGACCAACTAACAAAACCACTGCCCAATGAAATCCCATAAATTTTAAAGTAATAAAATGGTTAGGTGATATTTAATCTTTGAAGGCATATTTTCAAATCAAGGTGTCATACTCTAAAAAACATCATAAACAAAAGTGTATATACCATTTTATAACATAAGTACGCATTTGTGACATAAGTACGCATTTCTGTTAGGAAAAAAGTCAAGTGGTCGACACCCTAATGATCAAGCCGTCTCACACAAGAATTCATAAATTTAACAGAAAGTACAAACTCGATATTTGCTAGAATTTGATTTGTTTTCATAGAAAATGATACAGAACTAAGTGAGTGGAATTTAGCAGGAGAAAATACCGATGTTCGAAGAGTTCACAACATTGCTTTAAATAGCCTATTTGTGGTGCTTTACAAAATGCAGTAAAAATGTAAAATAATAAGCTCTAACTACCATTTTTTTTCTTTTTTTTTGTCACCATAGAAAAGAATGGTTCTTGAATTATCAACTGAAATAAGTGAGCCTCAAAACAACATAGAAACATTAACAAGAAAAGGAAAACTCATCTGCATCATACCCTTCACGCGAGGACTGAAGACTAAGAAAGCGAATCAGCAACACAGCCACAAAAGTGAAACTCCCTACGACAATACAAAGCGACAAATAAGCAAAAACATCCCAAGAACAATCGAAAGCGGCAAAAGGAAAGTACACATTAAGCCACATGTCGGTTTTCCAGACACCTTACAGTTCCCTTATATATTAAAAAGGTAGATAACAACTAAAGTAAAATATTTTTATATTATTAAAAATGTACTGACGAACTTCTATAATTGAATTTCGCTTCGTTCGATGCAATTGACAGCTCTGTGGGTGTAATCCATTTGCAATCGTTGAACCATCTCCCAATAGTCTAATGGCTAAAAATACTTATCTTCCGATAATAATATATTTATGTTTGGTTCTTGACACAATCGAATGCCATTTTTTTCCCATTCTAACATTATGTCATCTCTTTTTATGCCTCAAAAAATTGTCACATTAATGACTTGTGAATATATTTTGTAGTGTACACATCAATTCTTGCAAGAGGCAGATTGTTAAAAAAACAAAACAACATAGGGATAACATTTTTTTAACCAACTTTATCTGGTGTTTACTAGTAGGGATCGGGATTGAGATATATCCTATGTGTCATGTATGTGGCAGGTGGGCAGACGTCTGTACTCATAATTGACAGGATAATTCTATCACATCTTGAGAGTGAGATATTTTTATCCAAACACAAAATGACCTTTTTGTCCAAAAAACCAAATGTATAATGTTCATTATACCCTTGAATGTCCAAATAATTACAAATTTAGTAAAGCAGACTCATAGGACAAAAGCTGACTCATAGATTAAATAAACCATCCTATCTCATCCCTTCAAGTAAACAAGGCCAAGATTTCTGTCTGAAGAATAATACTGTATGCCGAACTTCCTTCTTATGCAACAAAAATGAAGGAATTAACAAACCGTTACACAAGTTCTCAAATGTCCGGAGAGGAAATATGTCAGACGATACTCAAGATACATCTTGTTACAGATTAACAAAATTAAGACCACATTCATTAGGCAATCTCCTGTGGTGAGTTGTTCAAGAAGAACTCGTATTATACAGCAAAATCAAAATGAACGAAATTTGGTTTTTTGAATCATGCGCTTTTGACCTCATAATTTATGAGTCGTACGCACTATTTTTTTATTTTTTTATTTTTTTTGAGCAAAGGATCATCCAATTTTTTTTTTTTTTTTGAGCAAAGGATCATCCAAGCGGCTACAATCTGCCGAGGGGGGTCTCAGAGGCGTAATCATCCGCCAACCATAGACCATACTCCCGAAATCTCTTAGTCTTCTTTTCAAAACCAATGATGTAGTTATTGTGGATAATAACGTGCATTCCCTTAGTTTCTTTTACCCATGTCTTGTTCTAAAGTATAATCCACCTGTGTGGAATGCCTTTTGAGGTAAAAGATACACGTCCACCTGAAATAAGGTCTCACACGTAACAAATAATTACGAGCACCACAATAATGGTTCGACTATAGAAAATACCATCGAGCGATTGTGCGCCCTTTAAAAGAAATACAATTAGATTCAACAATACAAATACCCACTTGACCTTTTTATATTTACTCCCCGGAGGTGTGACTTCCGCAATATCATGTGAGATGCGCTATAAATTACCTTAAATTCAATATTAGACAGTAGCTGTGATATTTAACAAATTTTATCTGGATTAATTGGTGCTCACTGCTGCAACTCAATATGGTAAAAGATTTCATAATATGTACCTGCCCTGCAGTTTTATTCAATGCCCAATTAAATGCAGGCTGGTCATTGGCTTTTTTTGCTCTAGACCACGGTTCGGCCTGCAATTCTTCAATCCACTTGTTCATAAGTAATTTTGCTCCAGAGGTGGGGCGAAGGTAAATCATGCAGCTACAAATGTAAGTACGTCCCTTCTTTCCCGGAGGCGGCAGATCGTGAGAATGGTCGAGAGGTTTCACCTGGAAGCTCCATTGTCGGCCAAAAAGGAAAAAAAAAAAGAAAAAAGAAAATCAACATTGATAAAAAAAAAAGGTAGTAGTTCATGGACTAAAGAAGCCGATAAGTTTCAAAATAATAGGCCGAGCAAATGGATTGTATCTGGCTGGATTTAAAATGTATTATATTGTTCAAATAGGAGTTATGAAGCCATATCAGATCAGAAAAGGATATAATCAGTCCTCTAACACTAGTGTTTTTTCCCCTTGTCCTGTAGCATTTTATAGCAGTGGCTTTGCTCCATATTTATTTATTACGTTCAATCGAATACAATAATGTAGACGAGATCACGACTAAACAGCGACTTTTTTCCCTTGGCTTTTAGCTCGAGCATTTAACCCTTTTTAGCAAATATGTTGTGGAAAATGGGTCACTTGGACAAAATTGGTAATTAATTCTGCACATGAATACACTTCAGATTGAATTGTCAAGTGCAGCCACAGACAAATGACAAGCTGAGATAAAAATGGAAAACCATTCCTCAAGTCACGATGGAAAATGTATTTAAAAAGATTAATCCAGGCCGTTGAATCTACATAAATATACAACTTGTGTATACTTACATAAGCCATGTCATCAGTGAAGTACACATCATGCTTGCCTTCCAGATAAGGAAAGGGATCTGCCAGCCAGACCATATCGACATCGTTGTACATAACATTATAACCAAGCTCCAGAATTTGCAGGAGATGACGAGGCCTTCTGGCCGTAAAATTGAAGAAGCCCTGCATACTACCCGATGCAACTCAATAGCAAGAACCATATGATGAAGGGAAGATTAGTAGTCATAGGCACTCATAGCTTGTACAAACTCGAGTCATCGAGAATTAGGAACTTTACGTTTTACAAACCTATTATTCTATCAACTATTTCAACACAAGCCTAAACCAACATGCGTATCTTTCTCGACCAATCATCAAAACGAACGACCTTTAATCAACTTAAACAACTGATCAAGCTAAATATAAGCCAAAAACAAAGTCTAATGCAGGTCAAGTCTAGAACTAAAAGAGGCAGCTAACAGCAACCCATTATTTCTATCTCAATCGCGTACCACAATATAACTGAACTTTCGAAATGAATACACAACGCCCTACTATCCCAACACTACAACAACAACAACAACAACAACAACAACATACCCAGTATATTCAGGTTGGGGTCTGGGGGTCAATTGTACGCAGACCTTACCCTTGTAATACAAGGAGGCTGTTTCCGTAGCGACCCAACACTCGTTTTGATTATTAAGAATTGAGATAACAAAAACAACTAAAACATCAAATCACCAAAAATTACCTGAGACCCAAATTTAGGCAGCTTCCAGAGCAGGCGGCACCAAGACCGCGTGCCCCGGCCACCGCTCGGTCACCATATCAAGCGTGGCGTAATCCTCAGCAATCACCAAAACCCTATCCTGCTGCCTTTGCCGCGCGATGCTGATCAGCCAGTTGTTCAGAAACGGCAGGTAAGCTTCGCTCACAGCACACACGATCACGGTCTTGTTCCCCGCCACGTACGCAGCCGCGTCGGGGAGCATGTACGCCCGCCACTTCCGATCGGAGCCCCACGAACCGAACGAAAGCAAGGAATTTGGGGAAATCACGCCGAGGACTATTAGCAGGGAGAGGAGGAGGATCGCGGCGGGGCTGAGAAGGGCGGCGGAGGGTTTCTGGCGGCGGGATCGAGGAGATAGCTCGTGCGAATCGAGCGAGGGACTGTGGAGCGGTCTTTGATGGAGAAATGTGGACATTTCTTAGACGCCAAATTGCCGATTACCTTAGCTTCCCGGGATAATTGAGGGATCTTCAGTCATCTGAAAATTGAATTTGTAACCTATAAATCTATGGAGCTTTCAGAGAGAGAGAGAGTAGACATAGCAGAGATCTCAGGTGAAAGAGATGGCCGACTGTGATTGGATGTGTACCAGCAAAAACGGATCTGAAACCGAAAAGGTNCACACTTTTAAAATTACAAAAATAAGAGCATGTTTGTTTATGAAATATTTCAAAAAATTTCCAACATTTTAACTCAACTATTTTTTTTTTTTTTTAATTCAACTTTAACTCAACCTCACTATGATTAAAATTATCATATTAATTAAATAATATCAATCAATCATTCATACACACCACATCACATCAGCCTTAATTCACTATTCATCCACTCACATTATTTTAACTAATCATCACTTCAAATTTCTCTCTCATACTTTTACATCAAATCAATTTAATTATTTTATTTTAAATATTATTTTAATATACTCACTAACAATTAACCATACCACCTTTTTTTTTTTTAAATTAACCAAACCAAATCAAAAAATTCAAACAAAACTAAAAATATTTATAGACAAACATGCTCTAAGTGCTAATATATGCACCAAAATTTCATTTATAAATAAGTTCACATCCACGATCAAATGAAATTCAATACTCATCATGAAAAAAAAAACTTCACGCGTTCAAAATAAAGTCACGGATCAACTTTTGGCCTAATCAATGATCTTAAAAGAAATACGAGGGTCATCTTGAAACCTCCAGCAACATCTTTAATATGACGTTCGATTTATGAGGCTCGAGCTCGACTCGATAAGAAAATACAATAGCTCGAGCTCGACTCGAAATTAAATGCTCGAGCTCGGTTCGAATTTTTTTAAGAGAAATTATCATTAAACACTTGTGTTATACTTTCTAAATATATATAAGGAGTATTTTAGTAACTTAATATATATTGAGCCGCTCGAGAATGTAAATATGAGCTCGATCTCGACTCGAGTTCGTGCTCGAGCCACTTGAGCTCGACTCGTCAAATTCGAGCTTGAGTCGAACTTTGACTCGAGCGCTCAGGAGCGCTCGTGAGCCGCTCAACTCGTTTGCAGCCCTAACAATGATCATGTTTTGTTGCGAGTCACCGCAAAACACGGTCATTGTATTAGCAAACAAGGAATATTAAGTTTTGAAACCCATCACAAAACCCCTCCATTCATTTCCTCACCATCTGATACATTTGATTTTCTGTAGTCGTCAACGAGAGGATCTCACCGAGAGTGCGCGGGGCACAGTCATGAAAGATTCGGTTCTGGATCAATTCGACCCGAGGACCGCCGCAGATGACAGCCCGTCGTCTCCCGGTGACAGCCGTGACCCGGACTTTGGGTTCGCATTCAACGACAGCAATTTCTCCGACCGGATCCTCCGGATCGAGATTGTCGACGACCCGTCGGAGGTCCCATCGGAATCTGAGGCTTGCCAAACCCTAGCTGACTGGGCCGCGCGCAAAAGCAAACGACATCGTGGTGATGCTGCGAGAAGGGAGAACGGTGAGCTGCCCTAGCATTTTTAGCAACCTGAATTGTGAATGGGGCGTTTAATTGATTGTATAGGAATTTGAATGATGTCTTGGTTTATGAAATGCTTGTGCCTTTTTCCATGGATTGAGTCGATTTTGTGAGAAAATGAAAAAGATGAAGCCT